AAGAGATCTTCCTCTCCCTCATCCAGGGGTTTATGAAATTACCCCCCAAGGAAGATTTATTTACTGTGGCCCTCCTCCTATGCCACCAAATCAGGAGGTTGTTCACCATCCAAGACATAAAAATAAAGATTGTAGATTACAACATCAAGAGACTTTCCCTATGCATGTTAGACATGAGCATCAGGGAACTTACTATTCTCAAGGGACTACTCCATTGCCATCTATTGCTGAGGATCAACGTTCTCTTGATAATGTGGACTCTGATTCTTCGGTGGAAGTGATGGACTCTTCAAATGTGGGGAAGGACAAGGACTCAAATGGAAACCGTGCTGAGGACTACAATAGATTTGCACAGATGATTGGAAGAATGATAACTGCCCTGGGCATTGTTACTCCTAAACCAGTTTCCACAGTGGACGATCCCATGTTTCCATCTGAAGAGCAGGATAATTCCCCATCCATGTTGCTTCCAACTTTGCCTTACCTATTAAAGCTAACTAAGGTTCCCGACATGTCTCCGTCGGCTGTTCCAAAGAGGGTAGATCTCCTTTACAAAGTGGATCTCTCAGTGGCACGCTGGATTGCCCACCCCACTCCACCTAATACGGTAGTGGCGGAGGCAGCTAGGTCAAAGAGGCCTAAGAAGTTTTCTATTACACCCCCGGATAAGGAGGGCAAAAAGATTGATTCCCTTGGGAAGAAAGTCCATGTAGCTGCGGGGTTGTTCGCTAGGATGGCTCATTATGCGACCTTTATGAGCGGATACCAGAGTTTTCTCTGGAATAGAATGCTGCCTTTTATTGATCTCCTGCCGGCTGAAGACCGTCGTCTTCCTAAGGCGTACCAGGCAGAAGCTCTTATTCTTTCTAGATTTCAGAAGGACTTCGCCAAACATATGGCTGAGGCATCCGGTAAACTTCTCGCCTCAGCAACGGCTATAAGGCGCCATGCGTGGCTTCGTGCCTCCACTTTATCGGAAGAAAGCCGCTTGTTGGCGGAAGACCTCCCTATGAATGAGGGGGGTCTTTTTGATCCAACAACAGACGAAAAGATTAAACATTCACGGGAGGTCCTACAAGCAGCCAAATACCCGTACCCGTACCCTTACCCATGGCAGCCAGGTAACCAACAGAAGCCTCATTGGCAGCAGGCGTCACCATTTTACCGTAGGACAAATTACAATGGGTACAATGCTAATCAGACGAATAGGAATATTTCTTCGAAATTCCAGTTTAATCGTAAGCAGAATTATGGTTCGAAGTCTAGGTATCAACCATACCACTCTAAGGCCAAGGATACAGGGAATTCAAAGCGTCGTCTTTGACGACTCCTCTGTGGGTGTTAGCCAGCATCCCAGGGTTATTTTGTCTGACACTTCCTTACCTATTGGCCACATTTGGTATAAAGATAGACTTAGACCTTTTACGCACGCTTGGGCTGCGATTACCACCGATAGGTGGGTCCTCCAAATTGTTGAGGAGGGTTACTCAATAGAGTTTGTTTCGTTGCCCCCGTTGGGCCATTTGGAAACAAGTCCTGAGTCTCCAGCATTGCTGGAAGAGGTTGAAACACTTTTGGCTAAAGGAGCTATTTCTCCTGTGGACCGTTCTATGTTTGGTGAATGTTTCTTTTCTCGTTATTTTTTAGTAACTAAAAAAGGTGGTGGTTTGCGTCCAATTCTAGATTTAAGGGGAGTGAACATGTACATTGATTCCAGGAAGTTTCGTATGGTTTCTCTCTCTATGATCCTCCCTCTTCTAAATAAAGATGTTTGGTTCGCTACAATTGACTTGAAGGACGCATATTTTCATATTTCTATGGCTGAACATCATAGGAAATATCTCGCCTTCATGGTTGGAGACCGGGCTTTCAGTTTTAACGTCCTGCCTTTTGGCCTTACCACAGCTCCTAGGGTCTTCACAAAATGTATGGCGGTGATCGCTGCTCACCTCAGGACTAGGGGTATTACGGTTTATCCGTATATAGATGATTGGCTGTTGGTAGCTAAATCATGTGATCGCCTGCATGTACACAATATAACACTCTCTCTTCTCCAGTCCCTAGGCCTCGTGGTAAACACAGCAAAGTCCCATCTGTTACCTACCCGCAGGATTCAGTTTATTGGAGCGATCTTGGATTCAGCTCAACAGAAGGCGTTCCTACCAGAGGACCGGTTTACGTCACTCAAGTCCCTGATTGCGCGAATTCTCTGTTTAGAAAGGGTGTCAGCGAAGAAAGTTCAAGTGTTACTAGGGCATATGGCGTCTACGACTGCAGTCACGCCGTATGCCCGGTTGAGGTTCAGACCCATTCAGAATTGGTTTCTGTCGGTATTCCGCCCTGGCCTGGACAACCCCCATGCACGGCTGCACATGCCAGAAGAAGTGCGGCGTTCTCTATTGTGGTGGACAGATCCAAACAATGTATCTGCGGGTCTACCTTTCCAGCTTCCCGACCCAGCAAGTGTTGTCACYACAGATTCCTCTTTGAAGGGATGGGGCGCCCATTACGAAGGCCTTACTGCCCAGGGTGTGTGGGCTCCAGAGGAGTCAACAGCCCATATAAACATACTAGAATTGCTTGCAGTAGAAAAGGCGTTAAAATCTTTCGAGATGGCTTTGTTAGGCAAGGTAGTGCAGGTGGTTACGGACAATACAACAACAATGTTTTACATAAACAAACAAGGAGGGACAAGGTCTCAGACTCTGTCGAGGTTGACTATGAACATCTGGGAATGGTGTATAGCAAGACAGATTTATCTGTTGGCCGTTCACCTCCCAGGGGAGGAGAACACTCTGGCAGACGAGTTAAGCAGGGCCCCCATGTCACACCACGAATGGTCTATCGATCAAAAGGAACTCAGTACGATCTTCAGGATCTGGGGAGTCCCGAGAATAGATTTGTTCGCGTCTCGGGAGAACGCGAAGTGTCCCCTATACTGTGCACGAAGGAGAGCAGCTCAGGAACAGGGYTGCCTGGGGGATGCGTTCCTTCTCAAATGGAACGGAGAATACCTCTACGCGTTTCCTCCTTTTCCACTATTGACAAAGGTCATTMCGAAACTGCGGAGGGACGGGGGAAACTGCATTCTAGTGTCACCATGGTGGCCTCGCCAACCATGGTTCTCACTTCTTCTCGAGATGTCCAGAGGGAAGTACAGACGTCTGCCGAACAGGACAGACCTACTGACATCACAGGGCGGACGGGTTCTTTACCCYGACGTCCACATGTTGAGGCTCACTGCTTGGAGGATCACCCCAGACAGTTAGAACCGTCTTTGAATGTTTCTAGTAAGGTTAGAGTTATACTAGATGCAGCGCAAAAGCCATCGACTAAGCGCTCCTATGTATATAAGTGGGCACGTTACTCCAAGTTTATGAAGGAACAGGGCCATGATCCCGTAAGAGCGCCAATCGCTGCAGTGTTGGATTTCTTAGCTTCYTTATCAGATTCAGGTTTATCAGTCTCATCCCTTAAGTGTTACCTGGCGGCCATCTCTTGGTACAGGAGGAAAGAGGGTATGRCCTCCCTCTTTGCAGATTATTTAGTTAAYCTTTTTCTTAAAGGGTGCGGGAACATTAGGCCAACAGTAGTCCCGATTATCCCCTCGTGGAGCCTGGAGGTTGTTCTTTCATCTCTTCAAAGTGCGCCATATGAGCCTATGGCAACATGCAATATGTCACATCTTTCTTGGAAAACTTCTTTCCTAGTYGCGATAACGTCAGCCCGTCGCGTTAGTGAACTTTGCGCACTTAGATCAGATGAACCATACCTCCGATTCCACAAGGATAAAYTTGTGCTCRGCACGGACATTTCCTTTCTTCCCAAGGTGACATCTTTCTTTCATATGTCACAAGAGATTGTTTTGCCATCCTTCTTCCAGAATCCTGTCTCCCCTTTGGAGCGTAGCCTGCATTTGTTAGATGTCCGAAGGGCGGTGGCGTTCTACCTTAGTAGAACGAWAGACGTCAGGAAAACACCAAAGCTTTTTGTTAAGTATAGGAAGGACTCTTGCGGCCTCCCTGTATCATCGCAACGCCTGTCATCATGGATAGTCTCCGTGATCAGGTTGGCATATCAAAGATCTGGACGTGAGCTCCCTACAGGCGTAAGAGGCCATTCAACGAGAGCAGTGTCTACTACYACAGCGTTCTGGAAGGGTGTGCCCTTGGATGCCATTTGTCGAGCCGCTACCTGGTCATCACCGTTGACGTTTGTGTCACACTATAAGTTGGATCTCCAGGCCAAGAAGGACGCGGAGTTTGGTCGTGCAGTCCTTTTTTCTGCGGTGGCATGACTCCCGCCGTCCAAGGTGGGTAGCTCGCTAGTCTTTTACCATTAGTGCGCATTCACAGCACAGACACGTAGGGAAAATGAAGAGGTTGCTTACCTGTAACCGTAGTTTCCCTAGTGTTGTGCTGTGAATTCGCACGGCCCCGCCCATCCTCCCCGCAGTTGTCATGCCTCCTCCTTCTGGCTGCTTTAGCGGCGGAAGAGATCTGGAGGCGGTTGGCCAGCCGCGGGCTATTTATGCTATCCTGGGGAGTGTGCACGGGGCCAACCGCTTATCTTTTTTAAAAATTAACTGAAGATTCCGGAGCGAGGCTGCGCATGCGCAGAAGTACCATTAGTGCGAATTCACAGCACAACACTAGGGAAACTACGGTTACAGGTAAGCAACCTCTTATTTTCATTGGTTACCTGATATGCAAAGCCCTTGTTCCTTCAGACTTCATACGATTCAGATATAGGGTTGAGGGAGCTCTTGGCCAAGAGAATATTCCTCCACAGAGTACAAGGCGGAAGTCTTGCACGGAATACGAATGACGCAGCCCTCCAGTCAATTTAATATTGCAGTTCTTATCAGTCTGAGCTCACACTGCTGGAGATTAGACCTTCAATCCAGCAACATCAAGGCAGGAAAGGGTTGCATGGCTTTCAACCCCCTTCGTGGTCCTGTTCGTTTGGAGTATTATGACCTCAACTCTCTCCTTCCCAAGGCGTTCCGCGAGGAATACACCCGGCTGTACGCACTCTCTACCGAGGAGCCAACGCCGCAGAACGACCCCCGGCTTCAGCACGTCCTGATCTACCTCCTGCAGAACAAGGCCCCCCAACAAGTGGTGGAGAGGACCCTCCTGGAGCAGTTTGCCGACAAGAACCTCAGTTACGATGAAAGGTTGGTGGATGGGGTGCATCCCATTCGAGAGAAGGTAGAGAAGGGCAGTTAATGTCAAAAAGAGAGGAGGGATTCTCTCTTGTGTTGGAAGATGTAGTGGAAGACATTCTCCTGCAGGCATGGGCTAACTTGGACCCTTCAGGTGTTTTGGACTTCAACTCCCACCATTCCTAACAGCCTCAGGCCCTTTCCTTTTCCCCCTCAGCCGCTTAAGCTTAACCTGAAGGGCCCAAGTTTGCTCGTGTCTGCTTTAGTGTGACCTCAAGAGCTTTGATCTGTATACTATGGTTCTGAAACAGAAGGAGCTAAATGTAATTATTGGTCCAACTGACATTCTTCTGGGCTTGGCTTCATTCCTGCTTCTACTCTTCTGCAAACAGGTCCATCAGCATCATGCAAGTGGCGAGGTCCAAGTTGAAAGAGATTGGCCCCAATGAGATGGACATGGAAGAGTACAAGGTAAAGAACCAGGGAAGCCTGAGAACTTCAATCCATCTTGGCTACATTTCAGTCAGGGGCCATTCAGCAATATATGTGTGTGTGTGTGTGTGTGTGTATGGAGCCCACAGTGGCACAGTGAGCTGCTGAACTTGCTTACCGAAAGGTCACAGGTTCAAATCCGGGGATTCTGTTCTTTCTCTCTCTCTTTTTCTTTTTCTCTCTCTCTCTTTATTCTTTCTCACATTTCACTGTTTCTCTTTTTCTTTTCGGGGTCATATCGTCTATTCACACTTTACACTTTTACTTACACCTCTTAGTAGCTTCAGCTACATATCTATATATTTTAAATGTAAACTGAAAATTTAATAAAGATTATTATAAAAAAAAAATCCGGAGAGCTGCATGAGTTCCCACTGTTAGCTTTAGCTTGTGCCCTTGTAGTAGTTCGAAAACATGCAAATGTGCCTAAAGTGCTCCAGCGGGAGGTAATGGCGCTCCATGAAGTCATGCCAGCCACATGACCTTGGAAGTGTCTATGGACAACACTGGCTCTTCAGAAATTGAAATGAACGGCAACACCCAGAGTCGGACACAACTGGACTTAATGTCAGGGGAAAACCTTTACCATATATGGATGGATGGATAGATAATGTATTGTTGAAGACTTTCATGGCTGGAATCACTGGGTTGTTGTGAGTGTTCCCGGCTGTCTGGCCATGTTTCAGAAGCATTCCCTCCTGACGTTTCGCCTGCATCTATGGCAGGCACCTGCAGAGGTTGTGAGTTCTGTTGGAAACTAGAATAATTGGGTTTATATATCTACAATGTTCAGGGTGGGAGAAAAAACACTTGTCTGTTGGAGGGAAGTGTGAATGTTGCCACTGGTCACCTTGATTAGCATTTAATGGCCTAGCAGTTTCAAGGTGTGGCTTCTTACTGCCTGGGGGAATCTTTTGTTGAGAGGTGATTAGCTGTCCCTGATTGTTTCTTGTCTGGGGTTCCCCTGCTTTTGAGTGCTGTTCTTTATTTACCGTTATGATCTTAAAGTTTTTTTTAATACTGGTAGCCAGATTTTGTTCATTTTCATTTTCATATATAAAGAAAGCCAGTCTGGTTTCTTGAAAAGGTAATATGTGTTGCTAATCCTTTGGACGCTTGCTGCCTAAAGCGCTAGTCCACAAGGAATGTCTCATCTCAATAATGGATGGCTATGGCCCTTCTGCACGGCTCTGGCATTGGGGTGGGAACAGCAGCAGAGTTGCAGAGAGCAGGCGTTGTCCACAAATGTATCCCAGGATCTTGTGATTAGAAAGTAAACTCTGTTAGTCCTTCTCAGAAGAGTGGAGCTAGAGGAGAAAAATAAGGTGAGAACAAAGGTGGGCGTGGGGCACCACACTGTCGATCCTGATCCTTTTCTGTTTCTGGGCAGAAATGGCACGAAGACTACAGTTTGTTTCGCAAGGTGTCTCTTTACCTCTTAACCGGCTTGGAGTTCTACCAGAACAAACAGTAAGTGATATGCTCTGCTCTTGAATGTTGTCTTAATTTAATTGGGTTTTTAGGTGGCAGCTGAGGACATTTAAATGTGTTTGGCCAATGTATACTGGGACCCAAAGTGGAAGGGTGAAGCCTTGCGATGGTATGTAGCAGAGAATACCACCAGTTTGGCAATTCCTTCAAATGGAAAAAAAAGTGGGGAGGTTCAGTTCTGTGCAGCCCTGAGAAGCCCTTCAGCTTAATGGGTTGTGTGGTTGCCCAAAAGGAGAGCTAGCAGTTCTTGAGTAAAGTCGGACAGATCATACCCCATTCAGTGAATCGCTTTATTTACAGCCTGCCTTTCTCTTCAAGACTGAAGTTAGGTGTTAAAATGGACAAGGGAGCACTTGCAGAGAGGGGCTTCAAATATCTTCTTGAGAGAAACCCAAGCAATTGTACAAAACCTCATGCAGATACTTTATATTTTCTTGAGGAAAAAGCCCAGGTGTCCTCTGACCAACCTGTTGGGCGAGTGGGCTTATGCTATACATTTATGCTATACATTTATGACCCTCCTCATAAATATATAGCAGAGTAACTTATGAGCAGCAGTGTGACCCAGCACCAGTGGCCCAAAGTGATAGAAAAAACAAAAACACACATAGGAGGCTTTTCTTTGTAGTAAAGCAATTTACAATAACACAAATAAACAAATACACATTAGCTTTACACACAGCAGCCTTCACACTGGAGCTTTCTCACCCGAGGCGTCTCACACTGAGGTTTGTCTCACACTCCTCAGGATGCCACTAGCTCTGGCCCACTGACTCTTAGCAGGCTTCGGCCTACTCACTCTTTCAGTGTTTGACTCATATTGTTGTAATCAAAACTACCTAGTTAATTTTAATATTTCTGACACAACCTTGGGCCCATCGTTACTTGAAATTTTCTGTAAACGTCTTGTCTGTCAGAGAACTTGTCCTCTGAAATAATGGCTTGATGTGCTGCAAATAATGCTGGTAGTGATGGCTGAAGGTGCAACTCTGCCTTTCATTGCCCTCCTTCAGGTACTGTGAGGCTCTGACCTACCTGATCCACGCCTACGAGAACAACCTGACCCTGCAGAAGAAGGGGCCCAACCGGGGCGCTGATGGGTCGCTCATTGCTCTCTATAGAAGGAAATGCCTCTTGGTTGGTACCAGTCACTCTGCCTTTCCTCCATCTTTGCACCTCGTCTTGTGGGCAAGACAATCAGCTTCCAAACCATTGCTTTATGGTTGAGCTTTATGCTCAGACCCTGCATTCAAATTTTCTAATAATAATGATACAGCCACTTCCTCTTGTCAGAACCAGCAGTTTGTCTACAGTTTAATTACTGAAGGCTTTGGGTCTTTATCCCCACCCCATTCATGATACATTGTAGTTCTTTACTCTTGTCCAGGAAAGCAAGCAAAAATAATGTCCCACCAAAAGAACACATTGGATCTTGGCAATTATTGTGCTGGTGTGGGCCGGCCTGTTTGGTGATATACGTTTTACTACATTTTTTGAGTGTTCAGTCTCATTTTAACTTTTGTAACTTGTGAAGTTGTAAGGGCATGTCTCTGAATTGGATGTAAGCCACTTTGAGTCCCCAACTGGGAAGAGTGATGGTGATGATGAACAGTAGACAAATGCTCTTTGATTGTAAACATAGTCCACCCTTGAATCCTGGACTTGCTCTGACATCCACACCTCGACTCGTTTCTGGTTTCCTTTGTCTCCAGAAGCTGAACGATATGGCGGCGGCTCTGCTGGACACCAGCGCAGACCTGGACGTGGGCGAAGGCCTGGGTCTCCTAGGCGAGGTCATCATCCCCTGCGTCCACGTCATCGCCAAGCGCAACCTCTCCCAGGATGACCTTGAAGCCATAGAGCTCATGCGAGGTGGCTGGTGCGATTACATGGCCAAAGAAATGGACGGTAAGGCGTGCCTCTGGGTCCCTTTTCTTAGGGGTCACTTGCCTTCTCATGTCCTAGTAGCTCCCAGGAGAGTGTTTGAAATAGTTGCACCCTGTTCTGCCTAACCTGGAACAATGGTCCTGTGTCTAGTTTTCAGTAAAGCCATTCAAGAAGGAGATTTGACAAGAGGGAAGGTGTCCAGAGAAAAGCCACCAAAAGGGTCTAAAGTTCTAGGAAACTATGAATCCCTGTGAGGGGGAGCTAGAGAAGGTTTATTTATTTATTTATTTATTTACAGTATTTCTATTCCATCTTTCTCACCCTGCAGGGGACTCAGGATGGATCACAATGTGCATATACATGGCAAACATTCAAGGCCATAGTAGACACACAATATATATAGACAGAAACACAGAGGCTATTTAACATTCCAGCTTCATGAGGAGGGTATGCTTTGAATTCCGGCCACTGGGGGAGCTGTTGCTTCACCATCCACTTGTGACACCGATGGAATACTTCCTCACTCTTTTGCACGCTGCTGGAGATTTTTATGGCATCCTAAATTAGTTAAATTAGCCTCCCCGCATAAGCGGTACCTAAATTTCCTACTTGACAGATGCAACTGTCTTTTGGGCTGCAAAGGTCAACAGCAAGCTAGACAAATGGTCAGGAGCTTATTTCGACCCGGGCTAGCTTCGAACTCATGTACTGTGCAGTCACACCTAGGCACTTTAAGGTTGAAACTATGATGTGCTGCTTTCTTTAGCCGGGTGGACCGCGGGGGCCTTACTTTGAAGCTCAGGAGTCTCAGCAACTAAGACATCTCCAGATTGAACATCAAACAAGATTTTTATTTTCTCAAAGTCCTTGACAGGCTTGGCACAACTTGTTGAGGTTACAAATACAAACAGTTAACTTATAAAATCATGTGGATGTTCCTTTCTTACTTTTCCCTTCAGCTGCTGAGTTAACGTCTTCCAATGGTGGAGAAATCTTGGAATACTCTCTACCCTAGCCCTGAGTCGCTATACTAGAAAGAGCAGGTCTTTCCCTATCTAAACTCAAAGCTAGCTTGGAGGCGAAGTAGTTAGAGCTTCTTGTAGCTGACTCCCAACCAGCTGCGCCACAATCCAGTCCAAGGTTAGCGTGGAGAAGAGAAGGCTGAGAAAAGGAGTCATTTGAGCCCTGTGTAAATCTTTGGAAGGATATCGTAAGGAAAGGGGAGTGGGCTTGTTTTTGCTGCTCCAGAGATTAGGACACAATGGATTCAAGTTCCAGTAAAAGGCATTCCATGTAAACATCAGAGAGAACTTCCTTGAAGATACGAGATGTTCAGTTGAATAGACAGAGAAGATGTGTGATGGAGTTTCCCTTCTCAGGAGAATTTTAAATAGAGACTGTCTAGCCATCTATTGGGAAGGCTTGGGTTGTGTATTCTTACATGGCAAAAAGGGTTTGGGCTGGATGGCCCTTGCGGTCCTTCCCAACTCTGTGATTCTATGGAAGCATGGAGGCAATTTAAAATGAAATGAATGGACACAAAGCTCCCATTGGCCATAGTCAGTAGAGCCCAGTCAAAGGCAAACTTCAGCCCTGCAGGTGGACTTCAACTCCCACAATTCCTGGCCTCAGGCCCTTTGCTTTCCCCCCTCAGCTGCTTAAGCTGAGGGGGGAAAGGAGTGTAAGATGCACATTAATTTTAGTACCATTATTAGAAAAAAGTATCTTTCTCAGGCATGGGCAAACTGTAATCCTCCCTCCAGGTGTTTTGGACTAACTCCCACAATTCCTAACAGCTTCAGGCCCTTTCCTTTAATAATATAGTTGCACTATTTACAAAAATAATTTTTTCCATAATACAAATAAACAAATATTTATTTATTTATTTCCCATATTTATACCCCGCCCTTCTCCCCGTGAAATGGGACTCAGGGCAGCCTAACAAAAGCATCATATGAGCATCATAAAAACAACCACAGTACAATCAAAATATTAAAAATTAAAACAATTAATTAAGACACATCCATTAAAATCAAAATCCAAAAACCAGTCTGGGTCAATTCATTGCCATAAGTTGTGTGATCTTCTTCCACTTGTTTCTCACTGATCAAACGTTTGGTCCCATCACCAGGTCTTGATTTTCCTTCTAAAAGACAAGAGGGAGGTGGCCAATCTGATATCTCTAGGGAGGGCGTTCCATAGGTGGGGGGCCACTGCTGAGAAGCCCTGTCTCTTGTCCCCATCAACCATGTTTGCGATACATAGTAGATTTACACAGCAGCCTTCTCATTGGACTTTTCTCACATGAAGCTTCTCTCACACTGAGGTTTACCTCCCACTCCTCAGGATGTCACTAGCTTTTTCCCACTGACTTTAACAGGCTTCAGCCTGCTAACTCTTTTCATTTAAGCTCAAGCGGCTGAGGGGGGGGGGGGAGGAAGGGCCCTGAGGCTATTAGGAATTATGGGAGTTGAAGTCCAAAGCACCTGCAGGGCCATAGTTTGCGTAGTTTTCTCCGCTCCCTGGTAAAAGATGACAGCGTCTCAAGGTCCGCACACCTTGAACAGACGAGTGCAGCTGTTTACACAAAAGAGTGCCCGTTCCGGCAATGCGCCCAAACCCATCTCCAGGGTGCCTCAGGACATAAACGTCAAGTCAATGAAATAGCCAGCTTCCGCTTCCAACACTTGTCATAACTCTTTGCGGCAGTTTTGTCGAGCTGGCTGGGCGCGGCGGGTTGCTGCTTGGTGGTAAAACATCCCGAGCATTTGCTTTTAGGTTGTGTCCTTGCAATTCGTGGGGCATTGGTAGGATTCTCCCTTGTGGGTCTCAGACTGCAGTATCCTCCTCACAAGGGATACAGAAGGTGTCTTTCTTTCCCATGGGAAGTGCATTGATATCGATTTGGAGAGGGTTCCCCATGCAATAGGATTTTATCAGTTCCCCTTCCCATCCATTTTTATTTTTTTTTAAGCTTTACGAAAGTTGATTTCAACCCAAGCCAAAGCTTTGCCATTCTTCCCATGACATGTCTTTCTTTCTGCTGAAGTGCAAGATACCGATTGGAGAGGGTTCCCCATGCAATCATTTCTATTACAATTTTCTTCCTTATTGGTTCTCTCTTCCTTCTTTCCTTTTTTGAAGTCCTTAGGGAAGTTGATCCCAAGAAAAACTATAGTTTTGCTCCTCGTCTTATGACCTTTACCCCATAATTACACCATGTAACAACATTGGAAAAATGTTCTGTTCCTGGCTGGAAAGTGTTATGTCCTGTTTAATTATGTGGTACTTTGAAAGTAGTTGCTCTACTCCAGAAACTTCGTCTTTGTGGCTGTCACAAACTATGGTTGAATTGGTGGAGATAATTATTGGAAAACTAAAGCAAAATGTGCTGCAGGATGTCCCTCCTGCAAAAAAACACAGTTTTTGCATTGTCAAAGGTTTTAATGGCTGGAGTCACTGGGTTGCTGTGAATTTTCTGGGCTGTCTGGCCACGTTCCAGAAGCATTTTCTCCTGATGTTTTGCCCACATCTATGGCAGAGCTTGTGAGGTATATTGGAAAGTAAGCAAGTGAGGTTTATATATCTGTGGAATAATGTCCAGAACTCTTGTCTGTTGGAGGCAAGTGTGAATGTTGCAATTAATTACTTTGATTAGCCTTGGAAAGCCTTACAGCTTCAAGGCCTGGCTGCTCCCTGCCTGGGGGGAATCTTTTGTTGAGGGGAATCTTGCTGGCCCTGATTGTTTCCTGTCTGGAATTCCCCTGTTTTCAGAGTATTGTTCTTTATTTACTGTCCTAATTTTGGAGTTTTTTAGAGTCAGACTACACAGAGAAGCCATTGAAATCCACAAGTAAGTGGACAATTTCAACAGAAGGGAGGAAACCATGAAAATGAACAAAATCTGGCTACTAGTATTAAAAGAGACCAGAATGAAGACAGTAAAAAAGAGCAACATTCTGAAAACAGGGGAATTCCAGACAGGAAACAATCAGGGCCAGCTAATACCTCTCAACAAAGGATTCCCCCAGGCACGAATCAGCCAGGCCTTGAAGCTGCAAGGCTTTGCAATGCTAATCAAGGTGATTAATTGCAAAATTCACATCTGCCTCCAGCAGACAAGAGTTCTTTCTCCCACCCTGTACCTTGCACAGATATATAAACTTCTTTTGCTTAGTTTCCAACAGACCCCACAACCTCTGAGGATGCCTGTCATAGATGTGGGTGAAACGTCAGGGGAGAATGCTTCTGGAACATGGCCAGACAGCCCGAAAAACTCACAGCAACCCTCAGTTTTTATTATAGAATCAATTAGGAAATGACATTTCTAACCCAGGAACAAAAATTGTGCTGCATAGCGTGACCTGCCGTCTTCCTCTCTTGCAGAAGACCTGCAGCTGAAGCTGAACGAACTCCTCTCCCGCCTCTTTGACTGTTCCTCGGAGGGCCCGATCCTGAAGGAGCCCCCCAAGATCCGCCCCAACTCGCCCTACGACCTCTGCAGCCGCTTTGCCGCGGTTATGGAGTCCATCCACGGGGCCGCGCCGGTGACCGTCAAATAAAAGCCGCGGGTTCTTTGGATGGAGACCCCGCAAAGCCACAAGAGAGTGGGGAACCTTACTGCCCATTTCCCTTGGAATCGGTCACTGAGAAAAGAACCACCGCACTTGGAACTAAACAATACTGTATGTGCCTAGGAAGGGGAGGAGAGAGACATGGCTCCCTTTACTGGGCAAGCACTCACCGAAACGCACACTCAAGTGTCACAGAAGGAACAGAATTTGCCTTCGCTTCTTACCGTAACAGACTCTGGAGAGTCCTTTTTCAAGCAAATGCGCTGTTCCACTGATGACGTAACGAACATGGCAGCACACCATGTTTCCTGTTTTGTTGGCAACCATGTTCGCATCACAACCCAGAGCAAATTTGGACACAGCGGAGCCTATTTTGGAGCATTTGGTGAACATTTGGCCCTGCCTTTTGCTCAAATTAGGCCCCAGACTTAGTTCAGGAACAAGCCAGGCTGAGCCTCTTCAGTGAGGAGTCTTAAAGATGGCATTTCTACGCACACATTTTGTCTCTTGGGGAAGAGTTGAAAAGCTTCACCTAAGATTGAATTGAGGCCTGAATCTAGGTTCTTCTCATAGTGAGGAAGGAGCTAACAGTTTATGTCATGTATGTGATAGAGCAGGCATGGAAAACTTGGGCCCTCCAAGTCTTTTGGACTTCCACAAATCCTAACAGCCTCAGGCCCCTTCCTTTTCAGCCACTTAAACTTAACTGAAAAGAGTGAGTAGGCTGAAGCCTGTTAGAGTAAGTGGGAAAAAGCTAGTGTCATCCTGAGGAATGTGAGGTAAACCTCAGTGTGAGAAAAGCCTCATGTGAAAAAGGCTGCTGACTAGATAGATCAGGATTGGGCAAACTTGGACCCTCCAGGTGTTTTGGACATCAACTCCCACCATTCCTAACAGCCTCAGGCCCCTTCCTTTCCCCCCTCAGCCGCTTAAGCAGCAACATTCTCACTGGAGTTTTCTCACATGAGGCTTCTCTCACACTGAAGTTTACCTCACATTCCTCAGGATGACACTAGCTTTTTCCCACTTACTCTAACAGGCTTAGGCCTATTAACTCTTTTCAGTGAAGCTTAAGCAGCTGAGGTGGAAAAGGAAAGGGCCTGAGGCTGTTAGGAATGGTGGGAGTTGAAGTCCAAAACACCTGGAGGGCCCAAGTTTGCCCACACCATTGATGGAGGCATGTGTGTGTGTGTGCCAAATTTTGTGCACTTATCTTCACAACTTTAAATACAGTTGCTTCTGATTCCATGACAAGGGAGGGCAAGGTTGCGATGAGGGTGAAGCCAACCAAATTGCAGGAGTCATTCCAGCGCAAGAGTGGAGAAGAAAAGCCATTACGGAGCCTTAATCACCAGCATCACATTGGTGGCAACCGGTGCAAAGCGACAGGGCAAAGCCGTTTTTAATGACACATACTTCAACTGGTATATTTTTAATGACACATACTTCAACTGGTATATTTTTTGTCTTCCAATATTTTTAAGCAACCTTTGGTTTTTATCAGAACGGTTGACAGATCAGGATGTAAATGGGAATCCTTATTTGATAAGTGCAATAAAGAATTTTATCCTCTTTCAACCTGTTTTGCTCTTTCTTTGAATCTTTTGAAGCCTTAATGATCAGTCGTCGTCCCCCCATCCTCTTCTTGCTCTACCCGTTGCAATCCTTGCAACTGAGTATTAGTATTTCTCATTTCTATCAATCCAGTACATTCACATTTTATAAGGGGTTTCTTCTATCAGGATAGGTCTACTGAGCAAGGGCATTTAGCAATGCAGACATTGTTGGGCGAGTGGGCTTATTACCAAAAGACCCTCCTCATAAATGCACAGCAGAGTAACTTATTAACAGCAGTGTGACCCAGCACCAGGAGTGATAAAAAGAACAAAAACACACAGACCAATGATATCTCTTTCTTAGGAGGCTTTTCTTTATAGCAAAATAATAGGGTTGCACTATTTACATTGTTTCCATAACATGAACAAAGGTCTTTATACTTCCTTCTTTGCTTCCACACTGGGGATCTTTCTCATGCAGATAAACAGCTTCACTCTCACAGAGCTTCCTCTCACACCGAAGTTACACAGGAGCTTCACACAGTAGCTTTTTACACACAGCAGCCTTCACAAATGATGACCTTCAACCTGGGACATCCTCATACCAAAGCTTCTCACACCAGGCCGTCTCATACTGAGGCCTACCTCACACTGAGGCCTTTCTCCCACTGTGAACTAATACTGAGGCCTTCTTATACTGAGGCCTACTAACACACTGAGGCCCTTCTCCCACAGAGACCTCTCACACTGAGGGCTGTCTCAGACTAAGAACTACTAGGCTACAGGCACACCTGCTTATATTGAACTACAGCTTTTGCTGAGTCATTACATCCATTTAGCCCTTCCAGTGCTCAACTCACTTTTTTGTAATTAAAAATACCTAGTTAATATTTCTGACAAGACATTTCTGCACATATTTCTTTTCCAAGTGATTTTTCCGACGCTCACAAAATTTTGCCATTCAAGAAGGCTGTGGACTCAAATTGCAACGAGAAGTGTCCTGTCCGCCTTCCAGAATGACAACCACTTTGTCTCAGATGCCAGAGATTTCTGATCCATGCCATGCAAAGAAAGCAAACACAAATGGAGTAAACGTTTGTGTAATCACTTTTTAAAGCCATTTACTGTGTTGTAAACCTCACCTTTGTGTTGACGTTGGCTCTGCACCAGACTCATGTCCTCCTAACTGAAATGGCTTATCAGTACAGAGGTATGCCCATTAACCACAGACTTTCTGTCAACGAGGAAGGAGGAAAACATCCACTTTCTCAAAATATGTATTGCATACAAGTGATACCAACTCCCCAAAATTGTACAAACAATCATTTGTAATTATTCAACATTTTATTTCGATGCATCTTAAGCTTCTTACAATGCTCTCACTCAGAAGATCACACAACCCAACAGATTTCCAATTAAAACAAGATCTAAGCCATGACCCATTGTCCAACCAACCAATTTTGCACCAGTCCGAAAGTCAGTCTCAATCTCTTCCCCTCCCATCGCTTTCTTCCTCCATATTCTGGAATCTTAGATGACAAGGTATTCATTCTTCGGTGACGAATTCTGGTAATGATTTGGTGACCTTTGTGCCCTGAGCTTCTGGTGGACAGGAAGCTGCCTTGAGGGCATCCTGCTCATTAGGAAGCGGCCGGAGCAGAGAAGAAGAAAGCCACCGGAGATGAGGAAGAAACCAGCAAACCAGCCCAAGAACAACGCATCACCCAAATCCCACCTCGGGACAATATCTGGCACCGTCTCATCCCAAAATTCTTGCACAATGTTGTAAGCGGTCCATGAAACGGGTGCAAGTGTCGTCATTCCAGAAAGGCATGAGACAATGCCACCACTGACTAAGAGTCCTTGTTTTCGGCCTCCCGTCTTCATCCAGTCTGAGCCCCAGATGGAAAGGATGGCAGCAAGAAGTCCCATGGCGTTGGAGGCCACCATGATGACCCTGGAGACCTGGGTGGCCAAAGGCAGGGCGAGGAAAGAGTTGTTGCTTCTGCACTCCATGACGTCCCCATTCCAAACCACGCAGACCTGCCAAAGTCCCACGTTCCAGGTCTCGATCTGGTTGAGGTCCAAGTTGCGTTGCTTCCACAGAGGCACGTATGTTGTGACACAGGATAAGACCCAACCAAGGAGCAGGAGGGTAAACCCTGCCAGCTGGGCTGTGGTGCTGGGATGCCAAGTCATCTCCGATCTTGGATGGAAACACTCCTGGAGATTGGCAGGTCTCTCCACAGTGCTTTTGGTTGCCTGCTTCAAACAACGGAGCAGTGGGAGGTGGCACTGAATCACTCCTGGGTGGGGCCGGGATCCGTTTTCAGGTCTGGTTGGCTGCTGATTTTAACCTTCAAGACACTATCTTCCTAACAGTGCTAGAAATCCCTAGTTGACGTGTAAGGCAGAGATGCCGGTGCTTGTTGGAGTCACCATGTTGACCCTTTCCAACACTTATTTCTGCCACTATAACGTTGGAAGCAGAGGTTGTAAACTTGGTACTGCCCTTCTTCAATCCTAAGACACAACCTTTCCTCTGTAGGAACACCTTTAAATACAGGATGTGTCTTAGACTCACAGGTGAGATAGATAGATAGATAGATAGATAGATAGATAGATAGATAGATAGATAGATAGATAGATAGATAGATAGATAGATGATTGATAGATAGATAAGAAAGATGAAATAGTTGAATAGAGAGATTGAGGAAGAGTTGAAAGAGAAGAATATATGAAATAAGTGGATGAATGAGAGAGAAATGAAATCATAAAATCCTAGAGTTGGAAGAGACCTCATGGGCCATCCAGTCCAACCCCATTCTGCCAAGAAGCAGGAATATTGCATTCAAAGCACCCCTGACAGATGGCCATCCAGCCTCTGTTTAAAAGCTTCCAAAGAAGGAGCCCTCACCACACTCCAGGGCAGAGAGTTCCACTGCTGAATGGCTCTCACAGTCATGAAGTTCCTCCTTGTGTTCAGATGGAATCTCCTCTCTTGTATTTGGAAGCCATTCCTCCATTGCGTCCTAGTCTCCAGGGAAGCAGAAAACAAGCTTGCTCCCTCTTCCCTGTGTCTTTCTCTCACATATTTATCCATGGCTATTACATCTCCTCTCAGCCTTCCCTTCTGAAGGCTAAACATGCCCAGCTCTTTAAGCCGCTCCTCATAGGGCTTGTTCTCCAGACCTTTTATCATTTTAGTTGCTCTCCTCTGGACACATTCCAGCTTGTCAATATCTCTCTTGAATTGTGGTGCCCAGAATTGGACACAATATTCCAGGTGTGGTCTAACCAAGGCAGAATAGAGGGGTAGCATTACTTCCCTAGATCTAGACACTATGCTCCTATTAATGCAGGCCAAAATCCCATCGGCTTTTTTTGCCGCCACATCACATTGTTGGCTCAGGTTCAACTTCCTGTTCACGAGAACTCCAAGACCTTTTTCACACGTACTGCTCTCGAGCCAGGCGTCCTGAATTCTGTATCTTTGCATTTCGTTTTTTTCTGCCTAAGTGGAGTATCTTGCTTTTGTCCCTGTTGAACTTAGGTAGGTAGATGATAGATAAGAGAGGGATGAAATGGGTAGGTAGAGAAAGAAGAAAGACAGGTGAAGTAAGTGGGTGGATTGATGGATGAGAGAGAAAGGAAATAAGTAGTTAGGTAGGTGATAGAGATAGACAGATAGAAAGATATATAGATCTGAGTAGGGTGAGTAGGCTGAAGCCTGTTAGTGGGCAAAAGCTAGTGTCATCCTGAGGAGTGTGAGATAAACCTTAGTGTGAGAGAAGCCTCATGTGAGAAAAAACTCCAGTGTGAAGGCTGCTGTGTGTATAGCTACTATGTATTTGTTTATCTGTGTTGTGGAAACATTTTTGTAAATAGTGCAACTATATTATTAAAGGAAAGGGCCTGAATCTGTTAGGAATTGTGGGAGTTGAAGTCCAAAACTCTCCAGGTGTTTAGGACTGCAACTCCTACAATTCCTAACAGCCTCGGGTCCCTTCCTTTTCCCCTTCAGTCACTTAAGCTTAACTGAAGAGAGTCAGTGGGCCAAAGCTAGTGTTGTCCTCAGGAGGSTGAGTAGGCCGAAGCCTGTTAGTGGGCAAAAGCTAGTGTCGTCCTGAGGAGTATGAGGCAAACCTCAGTGTGAGAGAAGCCTCATGTGAGGAAAAAACTCCAGTGTGAAGGCTGCTGRGTGTAAAGCTACTATGCATTTGTTTATCTGTGTTATGGAAACATTATTTTTGTAAATAGTGCAATTATATTATTAAAGGAAAGGGCCTGAATCTGTTAGGAACTGTGGGAGTTGAAGTCCAAAACTTAGGCCCTCCAGGTGTTTAGGACTTCAACTCTCACAATTCCTAACAGCCTCAGGCCCCTTCCTCTTCCCCTTCAGTCACTTAAGCTTAACTGAAAAGAGTTAGTAGGCCGAAGCCTGTTAGAGTCAGTGGGCCAAAGCTAGTGTTGTCCTCAGGAGGGTGAGTAGGCCGAAGCCTGTTAGTAGGTAAAAGCTAGTGACGTCCTGAGGAGTGTGAGGCAGACTTCAATGTGAGAGAAGCCTCATGTGAGAAAACTTCAGTGTGAAAGCTGCTGTGTGTAAAGCTGCTATGTATTTGTTTATTTGTGATGTGGAAACGTTATTTTTGTAAATGGTGCAACTATATTATTAAAGGAAAGGGCCTGAATTCTGTTAGGAATTGTAGGAATTGAAGTCCAAAACTTGGAGTGTAAGGTAAACCAGCAGTGAAGTTTGCCCATGCCTGAGAAAGATGCTTTTTTCTAATAGTGGTACTGAAATGTGCATCTTACAATCCATGGCATCTTAGACTCAAAGAAATACAGTAATTCCAATTTCCATAGAAGTGATGGGAGTGGCAGTCCCACTACATCAGCAGGAAACCAGACTGTGATCCTGGAGAATTATAGAATCATAGAATCAAAGAGTTGGAAGAGACCTCCTGGGCCATCCAGTCCAACCCCATTCTGCCAAGAAGCAGGAATATTGCATTCAAATCACCCCTGACAGATGGCCATCCAGCCTCTGTTTAAAAGCTTCCAAAGAAGGAGCCTCCACCACACTCCGGGGCAGAGAGTTCCACTGCTGAACGGCTCTCACAGTCAGGAAGTTCCTCCTCGTGTTCAGGTGGAATCTCCTTTATTGTAGTTTGAAGCCATTGTTCCATTGCGTCCTAGTCTCCAAGGAAGCAGAAAACAAGTTCTCTCCCTCCTCCTCCCTGTGGCTTCCTCTCACGTATTTATACATGGCCTTCATCATGTCTCCTCTCCGCCTTCTCTTCTTCAGGCTAAACATGCCCAGCTCCTTAAGACGCTCCTCATAGGGCTTGTTCTCCAGACCCCTTGATCATTTTAATCGCCCTCCTCTGGACACATTCCAGCTTGTCAATATCTCTCTTGAATTGTGGTGCCCAGAATTGGACACAGTATTCCAGGTGTGGTCTAACCAAAGCGGAATAGAGCATGGGGAGCATGACTTCCCTAGATTTAGACACTAGGCTCCTCTTGATGCAATAGGAGCATAGTGTAGGGAAGAAGATGAGGGAAGAAGATGAGACACACACCGAAAAATCACTGTGATGGTTATGAATGGGTATAAAAAGCCATCCTTGTGCAATGGTTTGAGTATCGGACAACAGGAGGCCTGAGTTCAATTATTCTTTCCTTGGCTGCAGGATGAGGCCGGATGACGTTGGACGCAGGAAGGCCGTGGCAAACCTCCTCTGAATAGATTTGTTTCTAAACATGGCTTTGGGGTTCCTGGTCTTGTTCTTGGCTTGGCACCCAAAGCTTCTCCCTTGCAAAAAACACAAATCCTTGCCTACTAAGTGCTGGTAAAGGTAAAGGTAAAGGTAGTCCCCTGACATTAAGTCCAGTCATGTCTGACTCTGGGGTGTGGTGCTCATCTCCATTTCTAAGCCAGAAGAGCCAGCGTTGTCCGTAGACACCTCCAAGGTCATGTGGCCGGCATGACTGCATGGAGCGCCTTACCTTCCGCCGGAGCGGTACCTATTGATCTACTCACATTTGCATGTTTTCGAACTGCTAGCTTGGCAGAAGCTAGGGCTGAACAGCGGAAGCTCACGCCGCTCCCTGGAATCGAACCTGCGACCTTTCGATCAACAAGCTCAGCAGCTCAGTGCTTTAACCCACTGCGCCACGTAGGAACTCAGAAATCTTTGGGTCCTGCCTGCCGCTCGCTCTCCATTTGCAATCTTACCACATTGCTTCCTCTTTTTTTTTTTTTTTTTTTACAGCCGCTTTCCCATCTGTTCCCCTATCTGCAGATTTGCCAAGAAGAAGGAAAAATATGCCTCACTCGCAGGGGATTTTCGGTCTTTATTGTGGGATTACCGGCTTCATCTTCCACTCCTCCGTCTGCTTCGGGTATCGAGTAAGAGGCCGGGCTTAATAGGATGTTAGGTTTTGCATTGTGAGAACCGGTCTGGTGTTGTGCTTTGAGTGTGGCGTTTGGACTCCGGGAGAGCAGGTCGTGGAAGCCTCTTGGGGAAGTCACACTCTCTCAGCCTCCGAAGAAGAGAAGGCAAAACTCCATTGATGAAATCTTACCTATGATACATTGACCCGAGGGCACACCACAACAGCAAATGTTGCTTCTTCCAAAAGCTTGATTTAGCATGGAGTTACCAAACAATCTGTGTGCATGTGCAGAGTGCACTGCCCTCAAACCTGCTTGGAATTAACATGATTTGAATATTTATAATACTGTTGGGTGAGTGAGTTTATTAACAAAATACCCTCCTCATAAATGTATAGCAGAGTAACTTATTAGTAGTGTGTGACCCAGCATCAGCAGCCAAAAGTGATAAAAATAACAAAAACACACAAGCCAATGTTATCTCTTCCCCAGGAGGCTTTTGATTATAGCAAAATAATATGGTTGCACTATTTACAAGAGCAAGGTTTCCATAGCACAAATGAAGTTCTTTATATTTCCTTCTTTGCTTCCATGCTGGGCTTCTTTTTCATGCAGATAAGGATCTTCACTCTCACTGAGCTTCCTCTCACACTGAACTTACACAGGAGCTTCACACAGTAGCTTTTTTTACACAGCAGCCTTCACACTGGAGCTTCACACACGGTCATCAAGCAAGGGCTTCTCTCACTGAAGCTTCTTACACCAGGCCCTCCTCACACTGAGGCCTACTCATACCATT